AAGGCTCATCCTTGGGGTATTGTCTCCTTAGTGTATAACATCTGTTGATTCCTCACAGTTTCAGCTATAATGGCCAAATTTCCCATATCTACAGCAGTTCATCCTTTCTGATATCCTTTGGGAGTTCTTATTAACAACAAGTTTTTGTCTGTAACTTCTGGTAATATGTCCTTTCTACTGACACTTGAAACACATTGTGTTGTGAATTAGTTCCTACACTTTGTGTAACTAGTTGTCTAACTAACTCCCTTAGTTCTTCTAGACTACTGCCAGTGGGAGTAGATATTTTAAGCATTAATAGATCTAATGATCCTGTAATTTTGAGATGGTGTCTTTAGTTGTTTAGCTGCAACTTTAATGCATTCTAGTTCCATTGCCAACTGCAGAGCTTCCTTTAAAGATGCACACCTGCTTTGCTTCAGCCTAATTCTCATATCCTCATCTGTTATAGCATCTATAAATTAGTCTTCTGCCAATGAATCTGTTAACTCTTTCAACACGGGCTCGGTCCCAGGGACCGAACTAATAACCATTTTGTGCTTGTTATAGTTTTCATGCTTTATCTTTTAAATTAGTAATTTTGCACATTATCAGTGAACATTACAAGGCTTTCACATGGAAAATGTTTTTTTTAAATTAAGATTTCTTAAGTAATATTTTCTCATGCCTTTTTTCTTTTCGATTATTGACTATCCAGCATGCAAAGTAATTTTGATTTCATGCATCAGAAAATTTTAAAATTTCACATGCAAACTCTTTGTAACCTCCAGATAATAATCAAATGTTTTTCTAGAAAAAACTTTATATTTTATGTAATTTTCACTACTGTATATCTGTACAGGTTGGGTCAATTTGACTGACCTTGTAATCAACATAAAAATTAGGAAGCAAATATAAATTATGCTTTTTTTGTTCTAGAATGACTACAAATTATAACAAGAAAACAAATGTTTAGTCTAAATAGCTTAAATCTCATAATTTTATACAATGCTTGGCTAACATTACAGAAGTTGCAATGACACATTGTACATGCATTCATGTTAACGTATCCAAAAATATAAAACTGGCCTTTATAAAGTGACCTATCTTGGCTGGTTTTAGTGGACTAGTATATTTGTATAATACAGTCATATTTCAGTTATAAAACATTATATATGAGTATACATTATTACAATTTAAAAATATGTTCTTCAACTTATTTTTCTTAAAACATAGAACAGTAAATAAAGAAGTATAGCAAATAATTATTTCTTCTAGTTACGAACTTTGTACTCATTTGCTGCTTGCCGTAGGATGCTAAGCTTTATCAAATTTTGCACGTGAAGGATGTGAAACAAAATAATTTTTTTAGGTTTTATATATATATACACACATACTTTGAAATA